CGGTGGATTGAGAGGTCGATGAGGATGAGCATCACCTTTAGATGGCTTCTGCCTGGTGCGGATATTCTCACATAGGGAGGGTTTCTTGTCCGTCGAGGCTGCTAGTATGGCCTAGTAGGTTATTACTCTTGTATCTTCATTTTCCTCTACCTAACGCTTTACTTTTAGGGCTAACACTCCATTTTGTCAGTCCTTACATCCTCTTTACTGCTGTAGGATCATTCCAATTGAATACGCCGCCCACGACATGATTAAGACCCGTCCAGAGCGTCGCGCTCGACGTCGCGCCAGTGTCGCGAGACTAAGTACGCCCCAAGTCTCATCGAGGGACCCTAGTCAGGCGCGGTTGGATGAAGGATTAATGGAAAGGCGTCACAGCGGGCCCTGATCTGGCAGCGACAATGTGCCCGACGTTGACGGCGGTGGTCATGCGCGCGCTAGCCCCATTAAATCCTGGTGCGACTGCGGTGTCGGATATGTGATGCAGACGACGGTGAACTGCAATTGACCAGAACGAGGAACGACATAGTATGATCCGACGGCGCGCGTGATTGTGCGCTCGTGCTGATTGTGAGCAGGACAGTGACGAAGAGGTCCGCGTAGCTTTTGATTGCGATTATGATGGATATGGCGGTCGTGGAGGAAGAGGTGATTAAGAAGTAGGGCTGATGAGACTTGGACGCGGAATACGCTCGGCGATAGTGCAGACACTCTGTCCAGGGTATGGGCTTCTTCCGTTCATAATACAGTGGTTCTGACTGCGTCTGCCAGGTTTAGGTTTTGCTGTTCTGGATGCCATTGCTACGCATTGATAAATCGACAACTTACAAATCATCGAAAAATGGTTATCCACTTTCTTATCGACCTTCTCCTCATCCTTTCACTTGTCAGTTTCGTTCGCGGAGGCTGTGTAAGTACACGGATGTCAACCATGCTTTGTTCAAACCTTTCAATAAACTTTCAACAGGATCAAGAAGTGCACAGCCACCCACTGACTAGCCTTGATCTCTTTCCATCATGATCTTTAAAACCATCAGCAACATGTTCACCAAGCGGGCCCAGCCACAGCCCCGGCTACATACTACGACCGGCTCATTCGAGCGTGTACCCCAAGAGCTAGTCGAGCTTATCATTTCCTATCTGGTCTACGACAAGGCCACCCTTCTATCGTGCGCACTCGTCCACACCACTTGGACACGCACCAGTCGGCATTACCTTCCATCTCTCACGCTCGTCGTATCCTGTCCATCCCGTGCTAGTGAGCTTGCCAAGCTCCTTTGCTCACCGCGGGATACACACTCCCCTTCCATCGCAGCCATCACACTTACCGGCTATACGTATGAGTCCCTCTTTGACAGACGTACGGGGGATGTCGTCCGTGGTACACCGCGACCTTACGGAAAGCTGATCCTAGCTCTGAAACGCAACGACAATACGAAGAGGAGGTGGCGGACGATGCTCTGGCTGTCGTCCAAAGTTAGGCCCAGCTGTCTGCGCATCGCCTAACTAGGAGTAATGTGCGCGTCGTACATGTTGGTTGTGAGTTTCATGTACGTCTCACTGTGTCGGTCGGACTTGTTCTCTCGAACTTCCTGTATTGAGGTTGGCACGATTGCCATTGCTTGCGGCGGCAGCCGCCAACAAACTTCACGCACTCTGGGTGATGGGTAGAATGACGCGTTCCCGGTCGCTGGAGGATGCCAGCATTGCGGAGATGCCGCTACAGAATGCAGTTTTCAGCGTGCGTGTGCAGGTGAGCCAGTCGAAAGGCGACGGATGAGTTCACTTTATCTTATTCTTGAGGGCAAGCGCACAGCCACCATGCCTCTTGCATCCTACTATCACTTGGATTTTTGACAGCATTTGTTGCAAATCGAAAGCGACCTCAAATGCCAACGCGGACGGCCTACCATCACATCTACAGATCGTCCCACTCGCCTTGTTATCACGAAAAGGTGCACAGCCACCAAGTAGCCTTTCTCATAATCTTTAACATTATCAACAACATCGGATCCACTCTCAGGCCTCAGGTCTACTCGCATGCTACGAATGGCCCATTTGGGCTTTTACCCCCAGCGCTACTCGATCTGATCATATCCCGCTTCGTCGACGACACACCCACTCTTGTAGCATGCGCGCTCGTGCATCCCACCTGGACACGCATCAGTCGGCGTCATCTCCCGCCTCTAATGCTCCTCGTCGTCTCTTCATCCCGTGCGAAAGGGTTCAACGAGCTGCTTTGTTCATCTCAGGGGACGCTCTCCCCGTCCATTGCAGTTGTCACACTGACTTATACGTATTCGTACGTCTTTGACCGCGGTACATACGTCGATTTGCGCGTCAACATATTGGGTTACCTTGATGTTCGTGTATCTCTCCGTTTCGCGCTGGGAGTTCGACGCCAATGCTTTGTTATTTGTTGAATTTCAAGACGCTCTTTCCACAACGTCTGATGCGAATTGTAGTTCTACATAAACGTGGTGATTTGTAGATCGGCTCAACTCGACGAATACCTGGTCGGCTTTGAAACGAAGTTTATTCTCTCATGATCATGAACATAGGAATCGGATTGTACGCGGGTCTGATCTTGACGATAGACCTATGAGAAACAGTACAGCGTAAAGGGAAGCGCTCGTGATCAACCGGCCCTTCTAACCATCATCATCATCATCGATACCTCATCGTTAGTGTTCCCCACCGCGTTGACTAGCAGCCCATCCAGCCGCTAATACTAAGTGCGTTCTCGTCTTCACCGTCGTCATGCTTGTTTACACAGTTGACAGGCGCATTTGTCCACGCCGCGTCTGTACAACTTATTTCTCCCAACATCCTTCATCGTCACTCCTAACATCCTTCATCACCAATCTACGAGCGTCCTTCTTACCTCGAGTCTCTGTTACGGGCACCAGGTTTGTTTATGTTTATACCTAATTTATGGCACGCAGGCTGGCATCTCACCCACTATCACAGATTGCGAGATACGTCTATGGAATCCAGCTGTTCGCCATGCGGGGCTCTCCCCCGTCGTAGCGCTCGTCTTGAACGCCAAGACCAAACCGCTATTCCTTTTCATCACCTTTCCATGTCCAACCTTCCACCGACAGACCGAGAACTGTCCGATATCCAGACCACCATCCTCCCTGCTCTTGACCAGGATATCTTGGATGTCGACTCGGATGCTGCAGTCACCACAGCGCGGCTCGCTCTCGCGTCCTTTGAGCAGGAGCGAGACGCGCTGAAAGACATAAAACAGAATTATGAAAATATCATTTCCACACGACGTCGTATTCCCCCAGAGATTTGGTCTGAGATCTTCCTGTATGGACATTTCTTGGAGTCCTTGGACCGGAGCGAAGTGTTTCATTGGCCCTCCCGCACCATTTGGCAACTCAGCCAGGTGTGCCAGACCTGGCGCAATCTTGCTTTCTCTCTCCATTCGTGCTGGTCGTCTATTGTGCTTAAATTCCCATTACTCCGGTCAGCGTCTGAGAGGGATGTAGAACTCCTAGCCTTTGTCCTTGAGCGCTCCCATCAGCATTTGCTGGATATCACCTTTATCCGAAACAGCGTTGAGGATCTTCCTTTCCTACGCCGTATGCGAGAGAAGGTGTTTGCAGAATCCTATCGATGGCGGACAGCGTGTCTGATTGACCGCCATGTCTTGAAGTCGTCAGATTTGCTGTATGCACCTCTTCGCGGGCGGATGCCTCAGCTAGAACTCTTGGATTTGCGCCACGTAAGGGGTCTGGACTCTGACAATACAGTAATATCGGCTTTCAAGGATTGTCCACGTCTGGTGACGGTAGTCCTCACCGGAGTGGATCCTCGTATGGTGGAGCTTCCAGTGAAACAGATCACATGTCTGTGTTTGGACGACCAGTTGCGTGCCGATTATTTCAGAGCCTATGTGGACTTGGTTAGCCAATGTCCGTTGCTTGAAAGCCTTCATGTGGATGTTAACGAAGGAACACCAGACCCACTCCTGCAATCCCTAACTCTCCCATACCTTCGCGCCCTGAAAGCGACGTATCCAAATCTCCTAGATTCTCTCACTCTGCCCCGACTGGAAGTAGCTGCTCTTGACGGGAGCTTTAGTTTTCCCCATCCTGATACACTCTGCTCCTTCTATTGCCTCATCCGACGATCCAATTGTGCAAGCAATCTCACCGAGCTCCAGATTATCCGGATGCCGTTAACTCCACATCGCTCTGAACCCCATCTTCTCCTCTCCATTCTCTCTCAGACAACCGAACTTGCTACACTGCAGTTGTGGGCATCAGTGCTGGATTCCGAACAATATTTACCAGATGAGTGGAGTAGGACGCAAATTATAGAAGTCATCAAAGCTCTGAAGGTCGTCCCAGGGCACCGCGTCGCTTTCCTTCCTCGACTAGTGTCACTCGACATTGAGGTGACTGGTGATACGGACATGGATCATATTCCATCATACCTTCAACCTCACAATGACTTTGCTGCTATGCTCAAAGCCCGGCATGCAGGCAACGAGGTCGGGCTATCAACGCTCGAGAAGTTTCACTTTGGTCTACGTTCAGACTTCGACATGGCTCGGCGCCCCGAGAACAAGGTGCCTAGTATACAGGAAGGTATATTCAATGATTACGAAACGTCTGTTCTTCGTGGATTGGCTGAAGATGGGATGTCTCTGAACATTCACTTTGAAGGGGTTCTTGGTTGACGATCTATGACCTGCTAGTGTGGTGGTGGTGGCGAAGGGTATTCTAGGGGGTATGTCGCGGAGTTTGGTGGTGATAGCAGCGATGACATTGCCAATTTGTATGTATTCACGGCGCCACATCACGTGTTTAGGTACCGTGTACGTGCCGGTATCGAAACCGGTACTTACTGTGCCACCCTACCTGAGCTATCAAAGTAGAGTATTATGTTCGCCAATGATAACTGATGAATGATATCGATGATTAAGTGAAGTGTGGCGCGATTATACCCCTCCCAGTGCAAAAATTAATCCCCGGAACATCTACTGCATTAAGGGGGAATCGAACCCCCGGCGGGTCGACAATCGTGAATGGCAACGACCCAGGTTACCACTACCCCATTAATGCCTAAATAGTGCAAAATTCCACTTCTTGCCATCTTTTATCTCAATCTTCACCTACCGGCAAATTTGGCATTCACCCTCCGAGTCTTATATGCCAGCCCAGGCCAGTGATCTGGGACTCGGAGGCGCGGTCGACACGGACATGTGTATGTCTGCCTGTGTTAGTACTTCCCCTGTTGAACTCATGTATGACCCCAGCGAGAAGCGCTGGATCCTGACAAGAGCGGCTCCGTAGGAGCAATACTGGATGCCTGGCGGCCACAAAGTTGATAGATGTCATTGAACACGCAGTTACACACCACGCGTGAAAAGGATGGGGGAGAGTTTGTGAATCTCGATGGAGCGAGGATTACCTGGTGAAGAATGTTTGCAGTCCTTCCTGTATCTAGTACTTATGCCGACCTGAGATTGAAACCAGAAATTCTCGTCAGTATTGGGACATCTACTAGGTAGTAAGTTTGTTTAAATTCAAGGCGCCACATACAGTCGCCCCTCATACGGCTTCAGGTCATATACACCACCCTCCTCGACCGCGTAGTTGCCCAACACAAATTGCCACTTTCCACCCTCAACCTCAACCTTGGCGGCGCTGTTACTGAAATTCAGCAAAACCAACGCCTCCGAATCACCATGTGTCCTCTTATACGCCAACACCTGTCCATGATCCGGGAGGATAAGCTCAAATTCTCCAAAGATCTAACGAATCATGCTGAGTAGTGTTATCACTCAGGCGAGAATGCTGAACGTACGAGTAGAGGATACTGCTTCCTTACGACCAATGCCTTCTTCCAAAATGCCAGCACGCTCTCTTCGTCGTTGAGCTGCGATGCGGCGTTCCAGGATTTGTAGTCGTCGTTGACGCGCATCCAAGGAGTGTTCCCGCTCGTAAATCCGCCATGCGAGGACGCGTCCCACTGATGACAGACGTTAGCCTAAATCCAGTTAGCAGTATCGATTAATTGGTTTACCTGCATGGGCGTCCTCGCGTGATCCCTTGCTTTCTTCTGGAAGTCGTCGAGAACATCCTGCATGTCGACATCTTCGGGCTTCTTTTTCTGCTCTTGCATGCGCCGGGCCAAAATTCTGATATGATGTAAGAAATCTAAGCAGGCGCATATATGGATGACGAACCTGTTCCAATAATTCTGCGTCGCGACATCTTGATACTCCTCTAGGGCCCAGCTTCGAGGGAAGTTCTTCATGCCCAACTCTTGACCCTGGTAGACATACAGAGTGCCTTTCTGCGTGATCTCCAACATCGCGAGAAGCTTCGCCGATATAGCGCGGAGCTCGTCGGTTGAGTCGTTACCGAAACGGGAGACAGAACGAGAGTTGTCGTGATTCTCGATGAAAATGCTGTGAAGCGCCTGTTAGTGATGCGTAGATAAAATTGGAAATGAAATTGTACGAACGTATTCCAAAATCCTTCATCGCGCTTGAATACCTGCCATCGGCTGATGATGTCGCGCAGCTCTGCAACTTTCCAATCGTAATGTTCAAGTGGGCTGGCAGAGACATGGTCAGGCCGGTCCAGGTGCATCAGCTCAATTTGGAACACCATGTTCAGTTCATTGTCCTTCGGTAGAACATAGCGCGCGAGTTCCTCCGTCGAGTGTGTAAACGAAATCTCCCCAACGGTCATAAGATCATAATCTATACCTGGTAAGCAAATGTAGAGAAACCAAATGAAAGTAGCGGCGTACGTGATAGTACATTCTCGCGCATTTCCGCGATATAGTCATGCACGCGAGGGCCGTTAGCGTAGTGCATGCTGGCAGGTTGATATTCTTCGTCCTTGTCGACAACAGGCGCATCGGGGAGTCCATCGACTTTGGAGATAATGTTGATGACGTCCATCCGGAATCCATCACAGCCCCGATCCAACCAGAAGCGCATAAGGTCCCACACGGCGTCGCGCACGACGGGGTTGTCCCAATTGAGATCTGGTTGCTTCTCGAGGTACAGGTGAAGGTAATACTCGTCGGTAGCCTCGTCATAGGTCCATGCTGGGCCTACGTGTGTTGTCAACGGATAGAAGAGAAGCACGATAAAGAAATGCGACCTTGAAATACTGATCTCCAGTTGTTGGGCGGGTGGCGCTTGCCGTCAGAATCGTATTTTGCGGGTCGCCAAATGTACCAGGCGCGTTTGGGGTCATCTTTGCTTCGTTTGGATTGAACGAACCAATCATGCTAAGAAAGCTATGTCAGTGAGACATTTAGAAATAGTGGGAAAAGACAAACCTCATCAGACGTGTGGTTAGCAACAAGGTCCATCCTGATTCTGGTCAGATTTCTTCAGTGAAGGTATAACCGCGGGGTTTCACATCAGCTTCATCTCTCGCTCGTGAACGCCTTTCACAAGGTTATCCCAATCCTTTAACGTCCCATAGCGCGAGTCGATTGCACGATAATCAGCACTGAATGACAGTTAGCGTCCGTGCGCGGAAAGAACAAGTAGACGCTTACATATCGTACCCCATATCCGCCCATGGACTCTTGTAGATTGGACTTAACCAAATCACATCGACCCCCAGATCCTTCAAGTAATCGAGCTTGGAGTGGATGCCATTCAGGTCACCGAAACCGTCTCCGGTCGTGTCAAGGAATGAGACTGGGTAGATCTGGTATACAGTGGAGGACTTCCACCACGGTTCACCGGCAGTGCCTATGGAGGGCATTACGAAAAAGGTAAGAAGGAGAGATGCAGCTGAGGAGCGATCGAGTGTGAAATCCTTCCCAAACCCGACGGGATCTTGTGACGACATCGGAAGGCGCGAGCTTGTAGGAGCATTCTAGTAGATTGAAGATTTCTAGGGCTTGTGTGAGGCAGGCAACGGCCGCACTCCGACTTTGAGCGAACATCGAGACAAGTCGAGGATACGCTCCAGCCCAGCCCAAGTGGGAGAGACGGTCAGGAATACGTGCTCGGGCAGCTGCACTTGGAAACGATCATGATGGTCAGTGGTCAGGAATCAGGATTAGCGCTCTATTTCCTTATTAGGCTTGCTCTCTTACGACCACTAGCGCGTGGCGAACTACTTTCCAAGACGCGTCTCTTCGCCCACTTGTAGTTCCTATGAACCGCTATGACTACTCCTGCCGAACCTATTCATCACTGAGCTACCTCTCCGGCTACATGTCTTGCTTGACATTACAATGACGACCTAGAGCTGCTTAGAAATACTTTATCCGTCGCTGAGAAATCTTGGTGGCCTGCGCGCAGGGCCCGTCTCTGTCAATACAATTTAAAAATAACCTAGACCAGCTCCTCCCAATAAATATGGGCGTCTTTCGATGGAAATAATCATCACCCTCAGTCATGTCTCCCTCCACCAAAGTCTACCTCATAACTGGCGCCAACCGAGGAATTGGTGCGTTTCATTGGTGTCCCGTGCGCCTAAACCTCAACTAACATATTACTGCCTTTCTAGGCCTCGCCATGTTGAACGAGATCGCGTCGAACAACGCTGATAAAGACGTCGCCATCATTGCTGCTGCCCGGGATATCTCATCCCAAGCAATTGCCGATATCTCCAGGAAATATCCTGGCAAGATTCACGCACTCAAGTACATCGCTGGTGATGTTGAGAACAACAAAGTTCTCGCTCAAGACATCGAAGCCAAGTTTGGCCACGTCGATACCGTCGTAGCTGTGGCCGGTAAATCTCTCTATTTCGTTTTTGTTTAAACGATTATTGAACTCGTTACAGGCATCTCTAACTATCTGGGAACCGTCCTGGAAACGCCCGTCGACCAATTCCGAGACCATTTCGAAGTCAACGCCGTCGGCGTCGCGGTCCTTTTCCAAGCCTTGTATAATCTCTTGAAGTCCAGCAAGGAGCCCAAGTTTATCCCTTAACCACGGCGCAGCGAGTTTTACTGCATTTATTCAGATGCCAGCAGGAATGGCCTGCTACGGTGCATCCAAAGCCGCCCTCAACTACATTGTCCGCAGGATTCACTTCGAGAACGAGTGGCTCAGTAAGCATTGTGCTCCTTTGCCTTTTATCTCGTTGCTCATCGTTCTCCTAGTTTGTTTCCCTCTGGCGCCTGGCATAGTCGACACCGACATGTGTATGTGTCCCACCTGCGTTAATTCACGTGTTGAACTCATGTGTGATTCCAGCGAGGCTCAACCGCTCGTTGGACAAGACCGGCTCGCTGGCCCAAATACAAGATGCCATGTCCATCCCAGGTGAAACTGCCGCCAGGATGTTGGTCGGTATTGTCGAAGATGCCACGCGTGAAAAGGATGGAGGTGAATTTGTGAACATTGATGGAACGAAGATTCCCTGGTGAAGAAAGCCCGTTTTTTCTTGTCAATCTGAAACAATACAACTTTTGTCGAGCACCAGAAAGGATGTTAAGATTCCTCTTGCAAAATACAAGAAGGTGATAAAATACAATATTATTCTCGTTGTTATCTTATGAAGCTTCTACAGTACGCTACGTGCCCTCTATTCCCTGAATACTCTAAGCAAATGTATCGTCAAGACAAAACGTATGTACAAATCTTCAAAGCAAACACCGCTCGCGGGACGATAGTGGCGACGAGGTCTGCGAATGTAAGTTCAACTGTCGGCGATACCATGCATCGACCGCATCAAAACCATTCGGAAAACCGTTGCCCTCCGCTGTGCCCTCGCACTCACATCTCCCCCGCATGAAAACTCTTCACAAACTCAAACTGCGGTCCCGTTTCCGGACTATGCGGATACCGCCTGCACTTCTCCACCGTCCTCCACTCCCTCGCAATAATACCCAGCGCCTGCTCCCCATTCTGCGCCATCCCGCACTGCACCAGCCAGCACCCAACGACCATGCCCGCGCGACCGATGCCTCCCCTGCACTAAATCGTCTTTACTTCGGCAGGATTGGACGAACCATTGGTGCTAACGCAGCGTAAGTAGTGATGATATATGTATCGGGAAAAGACTAACCGACAAGATCCATCCTAATTCTGGTCAGGCTGCGAAAACATCGTGTGTAAGACAGCAAGCCG